ATCCCCATATTACAGATGAGAAAACTGAGACTCAGAAGATTGAAAAACTCACCTAAATCATGTAGTGTATTAGTTCGTTTTTGCTGCCTCATAAACCACCTAATAACTTATGATTTAAAACAGCAAACATTTATTTCTCACGATTTTGTGAGTTTGCAGGGTTAGCTCAGTGGGGGTTGGGTGTCCAAGGGGTCTTGTACAGAGGGGTGGTGGTGAAAGGAGTTCAGTGCCAGCTAGGTGATGGGAATGTGCCACACATCTCTCAGTATTCAGCGGGGTTTGTACAGAGTGGTTGCAAAAGTAGCAGGAGGGCAAGCACTGCACGCTCCAAGTCTGGCCTGCATCACATTTGCTCTCCTACTGGCCACAGCAGGTCATAGGCCAAGTCCTGGGTATGGGAGGGGACCACCCGAGGGGTGGATACAGGGGGGAGGATCACTGCTGCCATTTTCTCCGACCACAAATCTACCGTATATGATTCACAAGTGTACAACCGGAATTCAAATCCAAGTTGTCAGATTAGAAAGTTCGAAACTGTCTTGGAGTGGCTGCCCAGGTCTGATCATCTAGAACACTCCATGCATGGCCAAACTAAGCCAATGACGTTTCTACACACACCGGCAACTGTTTTGCATATGGTTGTCAACCACAAACAAAAATTATAGTTTTAAATGATTGTTCTGCTTCACGGGTTGTTTTCGTCATTAGATGCGCCAGGTATATTTGGATCTCCTTTGCTTATCCTGTATCACCTCCGCGCAAGTCTTTTGTATTATTTTCTTTACTTTTGTTGGATTATCATTATTCTTTCCATGATGTCTATACTCTCTCATAATTGAACTTTTCTTTCTTGTTTTAATCCTCGCTTGAGGATATTTTTTTCCATTGCTTTACAGAGAGAGTGGAAGGGAGGGAGAGAGAGAAACATCGATGTGGGAGACACATCGACTGGTTGCCTCCCGCACGCACCCCGACGGGGGATCGAGCCTGCAACAGAGGCAATGTGCCCTTGACAGGAATTGAACCCGAGACCTTTCAGTCCGCGGGCCGACGCTGCAACCACTGAGCAAAACTAGCCAGGGCTTTTATTTCTGAAATGATTTTTTTCTTTTACTATTTTTTCCCTGTGTCTGTCCAGGTCATTGTTTAGTAACATGTCTGACTCAGTGAATATATTTGACTAAAAAACATAATTCCTTTTTCTTTACTGCACTACATTTTATTTTCCCTAGAATTAATAACTGTCTTTCCCAGTTGCATAGTCATCTGGTCGTTTTATTTCAGGGTTCCTTGTCTGCATTAAGAGCTTCTCTCAAAGCTCTACCTTTTTTCTTACTCTCTTTCAGCTTCGTTTGAAGTGTTAGGTTAGTTTTCATGTGCTTTGTGTCTGCATTTCACTGCTGTCTTCTAGTCAGAATGTTTTAGTTTACTTTTCTCTTATAACATTTTATGTGTGGCTCGATCATATCCCCCCACCCTTCCTTTTAAAGTTTAAATGAAATATATTAACCTGGATGACTGGGAGGACATTTCTGTGGAGAGGGGAATGGCCTAGGGCACCTTTCTCAGCTTCACGGCTTGAGGGCTCCCTTTGCTATTGTGAAAGCCTCAGAATAACCTGCTTCCCTGCCTCTGAGAGCTACTCCCCTTTCAGAAGAGTTTTTCTGCTCTTTCCTGCACGCCTCCGGTCTTACCTGCCCAGGTAGTATTCTCACGTTGGAGGCCGTATTTTGCTGCTATGGTACTCCTAGGGCTCTGCTTTATCCTGGACCTTCCCTGCTCCCAACTGTTAGCACCTTCCCTCTCCCTTATCCCCAGTACTACTTCCCTGCTTTATTCGGTTTCTCAACCTTCTGGAAGGAAATGTTTGCTGGATAGTTCTGAAATCTTCAGGGTTTAGATGACCGTGACACTATTCGATCTCTTGGTGCTTCTGTCACAGGTTTTACACTCACCCACTCGGAGCCTGTGATGACTTCTTCCAGCTTTGCACTTCCTCTCAGACCTGTCTGTCCTGTTTGATGCAGTATACATGAGGGCTTGGGACAGGGTGGTGACGATGAAGGTGGAGAGAACTGGACAATAGGAGAGAGAATTTGGTGATATAACCAGGAGCAATTGATGGCGGATCTGATGACCCTGGCAGGTTTGGCTCAATGGTTAGAGCGTTGGCCTGTGGACTGAAGGGTCCCAGGTTCTGTTCCGGCCAAGGGCACATACCCTGGTTGCAGGAGTGTGCGGGAGGCAACCAATGGATGTGTCTCTCTCTCTCTCCCTTCCACTCTCTCTGAAAAGCAATGGAAAAAATATCCTTGGGTGGGGATTAAAAAAATAAATAAATGGTGGGTCTGATGTAGAAGAAGGGTCAAGTGTGATCTTAGTGACGCTTTGGCATGAACAACTGAGTTGGTGCTGTCATTTGCAGAGATGGGGAAGACGGGGCCAAGAATGACTGGTGGTGAGGGAAGCAAGTGGCCCTGGGGTTGTAAGTGGAACTATCCATGAATGCAGTTGGATACGGGTTTAGAACTCAAGGGGAACATCTAGTCCAGAAATATAAATTTATAGAGGTCTTCAAAACTCTTAGTCAGTCTGGGCTGCTATAACAAATTACCATAGATCGGGCGGCTGAGCCAGCATTCTGGCCTCTGCCAAGGGCACTCATCCCACTCACCAGGGCTCTACCTTCGTGACTAAGTCTATCTCAAAGGCCCCACCTCCATATATCGTTACATTGGGAATTAGATTTCAGTGTATGAATCTGGAGGCCGGGGAACATTCAGCCCACATCAATATGCTGATAAACGTAAAGCCACGGGCCTGAATGAGCCCCTTAGGATGCGCCATCAGACAGCGTGGTGGCCGAGGACTGGCTCCTGAGGCGATATACATGACGCATTTATAGGTGGCTGGAGGAGGAACCAGCAAAGACCGTGAGGGGGGCTGTGGAGGTGGGAGAATCCGGAGAAAGTGGTGCTGTGAGGCTGAGGAGCTTTTCAGGAAGAGGGACTGACCAACCCCAGGTGGAAGCTGCCGAGAGGCTGAATTGAGTACAAAACTATATATATCCGTCTGTTGGAGGTGACAACATGAAGGTCACTGGAGACCTTGACAGGAGCAGCCTCAGAGGAGTGTAGGGACAGAAACCAGATTAGAACAGGCGGAGAGGATGAGAGCTGAGAAAGGGCAGATGGCTGGTGGAGACATTTTGATGTGAGGGAGGGAGGCGATAGCTGAAAAAGTATGTAGTGGGTCAAGGGAGTTTTTGCTTGTCATTTTAAAAAATGTTTTTATTGATTTTTTGAGAGAGAGAGGAAGGGGGAGGGAGAGAGAAAGAAACATTGATCTGTTGCCACCTGTACACACTCCTACTGGGGATCAAACCTGCAACCTGGGCATGTACCCTGACCGGGAACCAAACTGGTGACCTTTCAGTGCATGGGATGACCCCCAACCGAGCCACATCAGCCAGGGTACTTTTCATGTTTTTTGAAGATGGGAAACAGAAGCATGCTTGCATACTAATGAAATGATTCAGTAAAGGAGAGATTTGTGGTGCAGAAGTCCCTGAGAAGGTAAAAGGGTGTAGGGTCCAGTGCACAAGGGGAGGGATTTGTCTTTTAAGAGCAGGGGCACCTTTACTGGTAACAGGAGGGAAATCAGAGAACAGACTACTTGAGGGTTTATAGATCTGGTGGTAGGATGATGAATATGTCCCCCTACGAAGGCTTCTATTTTCTCACTGCAGTGTGGTGAGGTGAGGTCATCAGCAGAGAAAGGGAAGATTAGGGGAGAGAGGGGAGAATATAAAAGATATCTGAGTGGGAAACTTACTAGGGAAATCTTGATGGATCGGTTTGTGTCATAGTTTAAAATGGGTCATTTAGCCCGGCCGGGCATGGCTCAGTGATTGAGCATCGACCTAGGATCCAGATCCAGGAGGTCACGGTTCGATTCCCGGTCGGGGCTCATGCCTGGATTGTAGGCTCAATCCTGTCAGGGGCGTGCAGGAGGTAGCCGATCATCTCTCTCATCGTTGATGTTTCAACTTTCTCTCCCTCTCCCTTCCTCTCTCTGAAATCAATAAAAGATATATATATATATATATTTAAAAGGGTCATCTATGCTCCCTTCCTTCCTTTCTTCTTTGCTACTTGGGACCCAGTGAGGTAGAAGGCTATGGAAGGTGGTGATCCAAAGAGGGGCCAGGGCTGAGTAAGGCAGCAGCCCAGCAAAGGTAGGGAGACTGGGTACATGAAAGAGCACCGAGGGGAGAGAGGGGAAAGTGGGTTTAAATATGAAGGTGTAGCAGGTAAGGAACTTTTATAACTGTAAAGTGTGACCTGCCCAGAAGATCTTGCCTCTTAAGCACAAACTGCTCAGTTATTGCTCTTCTAGAAGAAAATCATCACTGAATGGGAACAGATCACTGATACAGAACAACACATGAAGAAATTAGAACTTTATTATAAACATTTATTATAAACTGATTTTGTATTAAGACACTTTGAAACTTTAAAAACTATATGTAACTTAAGCTTACTATTTTAATGTACTTCATGTTCCACTTTTCAATCTAGAAAATACAAAGAGCTTCAAAAAAACCAAAACATGTATCTAACAGAGAGAAAAAAACTAAATAGCTTTGAGAAAACTAATGAATATAAAAATACCTCACCCCAAACTAAAACAAACCCAATCAAGAAATAGATTCTGCAAAGCCTATTAATTCTCCAATTTAAAATAAATGACTTCCCAAGGGAAAAATACTTCCATCATCATAGCAATTTGATGAATAAAAGCAAAGCCACTCTCATTAAGGGAAATTACATTATATATAAGAAAAATGTAATGCTTTTAGAAAATGAAGAAAAGTAACTTCCATGTTGGAGTTATCAAGCATACTAAATACTTTTTAAATTTTTAATTTTTTAATTTATTGATCTGAGAGAGAGAAAGAGAGAAAGAGACATCAATTTGTTGTTCCACTTATTTCTGCATTCACTGGTTGCTTCTTGCATGTGCCCTGACTGGGGATCAAACCCACAAGCTGGGCATATCGGGACAACGCTCCAACAACCTGCTACCCAGCCTGGGCCTAAATACTTTCTGTTCACTTGGCCTTTGTTAGAAGTTAAAGTACCTGCTTACATGAGAAAAGTGCTATGAACATGAACATCATGAAACCAAGCTCCTCAGTGAGTTTTCAGTTTAACCTCAGGAGAATCAACCCAAGAGCTTCAAAATCCAAGGATAGACTGGTCCCAGAGCATTTCCTCCTCTGTCCTTTCTTCGCCTTGTTCCTTTTTCTCTTTTCTACGCTTACGATCCTCTTTCTTAGAGGCTACATCTCGTCTTTTTTTCTCCCTTTGACTCTTAAGCTTTTCTGTACCAATCCTGACTGTTTCCACCTCTGTTTTGTTATTTTGGATGCTCTTGTGTTTGTCTAAATCTATTTCCTCACAACCCTTTTTCTTCTTATGCTTGGTCTGCTTCTCCTCTGATTTTTCTCTGCCTTCTTCCAGGTGCCTTTTTCTCTTCTGATGTATCCATTTATGACTGGCTTTATGGGCACTGGTACTGTTTTCTGAGACGTGCTTGTAAACTCTAGATTCTACATTGTATGAGCTATAATTATACTCTTGCTGACTAAGGTTCAGGGGTACTGGTTTTTCTGAGAAATAGTCCCTGGTGAATTGACAGTAGCTCGGGGAGTCTAGTCTCAGCCTGCTGTCATGAGCTGGTGGCCACCGAGGTAACTGGTTTTCCACTCTCTGTGAAATACTGTATGATCTTGCGTGGGTCTGGATGGTTTCAGATGGGAGTCTTTGATCAAACATTCTATATCTGGGTCTGAAATCAATCTCTTCTTTGTACCTACAGGTTTCCAAATAGTCCTCTCTCATCTCTCTGAAACAAGTCTTTGGTTCTAAGCCTCTGGCTTTCTGCACTCTGATATAATCTTCAAGTTCATCTTGAAAAGAGTCATATGTCTTCTTTGAATGCTTCATCAGGTTGACAACAAGGGATTCTCTGTAGAGAAGATAAAATAAAATTCTTCTTACTAGTTTATTTTGAATATATCTTTGCTCTTGAAGAGAGTTTCAAAACAGAACATAGAAGCCCAAACAAATTAAAACCGAATTCAGTATGAAAGTTAAGTATCATGACATTATATGTCAAAAAGGAACATCCGGATAATCAAGTATCTCCCAGGCTGCCCACAGGGAACTTTATCATTCTCAGAAGAGGCATAAGGGGGCTGAGAGGAGCTGACATGTAAGATTTTGTTTTGGGGTAAAAATGTAAGGCATGTAGAAATGTGTAGATAAGAACTACACATCCATGTTTGGTGGCCTGATCTAAATGTTCATATATTTCCTAAAGTTTTGATTAATTAGCTTCATGTACATTGTTTTCTTTTTTTGTTGTAAATTCTTGTACATTGTTTTCTAAGAGAACAGAACCATGAAGAAGTAATTCAATCTTTAAAATTTTAGTTCACCAAATAAAATTAAATAAACACACATACTCACCTGACTAGAGTACTACAGAACTTAAAAATAAAAGGATGCTTATAAAATGGTCTGGGAACGCTAGAAATCAGAAATTCGGCTATGAGATAAAACTCTTAGGTACAGTACAGGGCATGAGGGAAAATGAGAGAACAGAGTTCTGCCTCTTCTCTACGGGCTTGGATTCATTCCACGATTTCTGCTTGGTGGGAAAGCATTCTAGGATGCCTTCTAGTCTGTTCTCTATCAAACTGCTAGTGGGAGAGTTAGGGAGGACATGGAGGTGAAAGCTGAGAGAGGAGTTAATCTGAGGTACAGAGAAGTTTCAGAAAAAATTTAGAATACATATACTAGTTTTTGTTTGCTTGTTTGGTTCTTTTTTGGGGGGTGAGGGGCCGCACTATTCCCGCTTCTCTTCTTTTACCCTACCTAAAATCCTACATAAGTACAAATATAGCAGAAAATGTACTTACTATGAGATGATAATGCCCTAGATATTTCTGGTGATACATTTTTATCTCCAAAAATTAGGAGGTAGCATAACCCATGCAGAATCAAACATTCCTCCCTTTAAAAGAAAAATAAGCTAACATAGCACTCTGGAGTCACTAATGATCAGCCATCTTATCTGCAGATTTGAGATTAAAAAGGTGGTCTACATGAAGCCTAATTTGGTGAGTCAGAAAATGTAACTACTATTCAACTTAAATAGTATAAAAATTCTGAATAAATAAAATAACAAATATTTGATTAAATATATACAAAAAATTTGAACAGACACTTAAGAATATAGCCCAACCAGGTATGGCTCAGCGGTTGAGCATTGACCTAGGATCCAGGAGATCGAGGTTTGATTCTCGGTCAGGGCACATGGCAGGGTTGGGGCCTCGATCCCCAGTCGGGGCTGTGCAGGAGACAGCCAATCAATGACTCTCTTATCATTGATGTTTCTCTCTCTCTCTCTCTCTCTCTCTCTCTCTCTCTCTCGCCCTCTCCCTTCCTCTCTCTGAAATCGATAAAGATATATTTAAAAAAAAAAAAGAATACATACAAATGGCCAATAAACACATGAAAAGATATCATTAGTGGTAAGTCAATGTCAAATAAAACCATAATGAGATACCACCATGCACTCATTAGAATGACTGAAATGAAAAAGACTGACAATACCAGTGTTGATGAGGATGCAGAACAACTGGAATTCTCTTACATTGTTGGTGAGGATGTAAAATGGTACAATCACTTAGAAAACAGGTTAGTGGTTTCTGAGGAAGTTAAACAGACACCTACCACAGGGGCTGGTTATTCTACTCCTAGATATTTACCCCAAAGAAAAGAAAATATATGTCCATACAAAGACATGAGTGTTCATAGCAGTTTTATTTGTAATAGGCCCAGAAAGGAAAATACCCAAATGTTTGTAGATCAACAGATGAATGGATAAATCAAATAAATAGTGGTATATTCATACAATGGAATACTATCAGTGATAAAAAGGAATAAACTACTCAGACACTCAACAACATGGATGAATCTCAAAATAATGATGCTGAGTGAAAGAAGTCGACAGCCCTAACTGGTCTGGCTCAGTGGTTAGAGCACTAGCCCATGGACTGTAGGGTCCCGAGTTTGATTCTGACCAAGGGCACATACCTTGGTTGCAGGCTCCATCCCTGGCTCCAACTGGGGCATGTGTGGGAGGCAACCAATTGATGTGTCTCTCTCACATCGAGGTTTCTCTCTCCCTTCTACTCTTTCTGAGAAGCAATAGAAAAAATATCCTCGGGTGAGGATAGGAAAAAAAAAAGTCTGACAAAAGAGTACCTATACGACACTATTTACATAAATCTCTAAAAAATGCAAATCAATCTGTAGAAACAGTGATGCATCAAGATGAAGCAGGAAGAGTTGGGAGGGAGCGACTATAAAGGGCATTTCTTTTGGTATGGATATGTTTACTACCTTGATTGTGTTGGTAATTTTATGGGCATATACATCTGTCAAAACCCATCAAATTGTATACTTTAAATATGTACAGTTTATTGTACATCAACTATACCTAAATAAAGCTGTATTTAAAATGTCACTAACAAGATTGAAAATATGTTGATAATTGTTGAAATTGAATGATATGTACATGAGAGTTCATATTACTAACTCTTCTCTACTTTTATGTTTGAAAAATTTAATAATAAAAAGACTTTACACACAATACAATATACAGATGATGGATTACAGAATTGTACACCTGAAACCTATAATTTTATTAACCAGTGTCACCCGAATAAATTCAATAAAAAAGAAAAATAAGGAAAAGAAATATTTTACTTCACACTCACTAATCAAAATGACAAATGATATTAAGTGTAAGGATGGAAACTTCATTCATTGTTGGTGGGCATGTAAAATGTTGTAGCCACTTTGAAAAACAGTTTGGGAGTTTCTCAAAATTTTAAACAGAGAGTTACCATATGACCCAGAAATTTCACTCTTAGATATATACCCAAGGGAACTGAAAACCTATGTCCACATAAAAACTTGCATACAAATGTTCATAGCAGCATTATTCATAACAGCTAAAAAGTAGAAAAAACTCAATGTCCATCAACTGATGAATGGGTGAAATGTGGTATACTCATACAATGGAATATTATTTAGCAATAAAAAAGAATGAATTATTGATACATGGTACAACATGTATGACCCTTGAAGACATGTTAAGAAATGAGTCACAAAAGGCCGCAAACGGTGCAGAAATCAATAAAGAGGTAAATGGAACCTTACCCTTACCAGGCTGAGTACTTGGTGGAGAAATCTGATCATATTCACCCATTAACTGCTTCAGTTTCCTAGCATGAACTTTCCCCAACCGTGAGACTGCGAAACTGGGGAGCTAAAAGACACGATACAAAGATTGCAAAATTTATTTTTGTCCACTACTTCACTCCCAGTCACCTGAAAACAACCATAATATTATTATAAAGATTAAATCATTCAAAGTTTAGAATTCTATCATCAACATAGATTGTCCGAAAATTCACAAACTCCATCTTCAATGTCTTACTTTGCTTCCTGAAAATCTGCAACTAAAGCTCACTTTCTGAGCAAATATTTTACCGTGGAAAAAGTAATATTTTGTTTATTAGAACAAAGTGACGCCAAATTTATACCTCATAATTTTTAATATATTTAGTCTGAACTAAGAGTTTAAAAATAGCTTTGTTTTCAAATCAAAGTATCAGCTTCAGTAGAAATAACCCTATGATTTAGAAGCCTTTTATTTTCAACTGACTGTATAATGTGAAATCCTTTGTGATTCAAACTATATTTCTACTCCACATATGCCTTTTACAAAAGGTATCTGTAAAAAGTTCAGTCTTGGTGCTCTCCCTACAGGGAGCACGCCCATGCCATTCCCTTCCCCCTCTCCTTGCCCCACAGGCATGTATCCCCTAACCTCTAAGGAACCCTTTGAGACTTGCAACCAGGGGAGCAATAGGCAGCAGTAGCTCATCCAGGGCTCATCTCTTGAATCTGTCTCCAAGGCCCCTTTTCTCTCTCTGACTTCTGAGGGAGCCAAAGCAGCACAACCTAGGCTCTCCTGTTGCTGCTTCTATGCCCTCCCTTGTTTCACTGTCCTAAGTATATTTTTGCTGGGGTCAATAAATTCTTACTTACTTTGCTACAAAAAAAAAAAAAAAAAATTCAGTCTTTGTTCATTCACATGGTATCAATGAATAAAATAAAGGAAGGTAAGACAGGTCATATTAAAATTTAAGTAGTATTTTTATTTTTATTTTATTTTTAAAAAAATATATCTTTATTGATTTCAGAGAAAGGAAAGGAGAGGGAGAGAGATAGAAACATCAATGATGAGAGAGTCATTGATCAAGCCCGCAACCTGGGCATGTGTCCTGACCAGGAATCGAACCCCGATTGCCTGGATCCCAGGTTGACGCTCAACCCCCTGAGCCATGCCCAGCCGGGCTAAGTAGTATTTTTAATCTTCAACTAGATATCATTTCATATACCATTTCAAATCTTAATTTCCTGAATGCTTGGAAGACCATACTACTAGCTTTTTGCTCATTAGAATTTTGGTATGAAAATATTTAGCAAGCCTATAATACGAAATATATTTTTACTTAGTCCAGAAAATACTATTCTGAAGAAGTTATTGGGGCACCAGTAGGAGTCTGGACTTTATGGAAATTATCTGGGGTACTAGTATCAAAAGGCTGGTCTAGGAAATCCAGCCTTGGAATTGTTTTTTTTTTTTTTTAATAGAAGACCATCTCAAGTAATGCAGTCTTTTAAAATAGTTACTAATTCTAGTTATACTACTAATGTCATGTGATTCCATGGAAGAATCACAAACCATTATTACCCAATGGTAGGCAACCATCCTCCGTATTTGGCACAAACATGACCACAAGCAAGGCTCACCAAGCAAGGATTAGACAAGCCACTCAAAGCTACAGTCATATTCACATATTAACTTCTAGAATATTTGCTAAAAGTGTTTCTCACCACAATAATTTATGTCAAAATTACAACATTTATACTTGAGGTCTATACTACTACCTAGAGTTCCTAACAGTTGAAATTTGTTTTATAGAAGTTTACTAGTTTATAAATGCAATGCCAGTCATGGAACACCAAAATACTTTCTATGCAGCCATTTAAATAAGTGAGTTGGAACCACATAGAGAAATGTCCATGATAACATTAATGGTGTATAGATGTAGAACTATATCTGCCTACATACCTACCTACCTGCCTTCCTATTGATCTAAAATCCAATTTTAATATAAAAACATTCAACACACAGAACCAAAATTTAAATATATACATAAGTATTGACTGTAAGGAAGGAGTTAAAGGAGCTGGATTGTAATCCATTCCCTTCCTTTCCTAGAAGAGGAAGAGGAAAGGTGGCAGGTGACCTCTGGACCTCGAGTAAAGAGCCTGATGATATTTGCTAGGAGGAAGAAAACTTATCTCTGAAATGCTCTTAGCAAGATGTCTGTGGCTAAAGATTACCTATAGCAGATAAATCTAGGATTTCTGAGGCATATTTCCTGAAGAATGCCACATAAGCTAACAACTCTCTGGGATATAAAATGCAGGATCATAATTTAAACACTTTGACTGTGTGAGGTGACTCTCATTTAGAAAACTCATCTATTATTTTGGATCAGAGAAGCATGATTAATGTGGGAAAACATGGTCTGATAAGCCATCTTTCATGTACTACATCTCTCTGTTTTGTTAGAGCCTTTTGATTGCTTGTACCCTTTAAGTAATCAGTAAACTTTGATACTAGGTAATATTACTGATTCTTGTGAGTCTGATTTGATGGTCTTATCTTGTGTGTTAGCTCAACACCCGTAAGAAAAAAATCTGAAAAGATACACTAAACTTAATGGGGTTTGGGGAATGGGGTTAGAAAAAAAGCCAGTGGGAACATTTAACGTTTTGCTATCTGAACATATCTGTATTGTTTAAATTTTTAAAAAAAATCCTCACCGGCCCAGCCGGGCGTGGCTCAGCGGTTGAGCGTTGACCTAGGATCCAGGAGATCGGGGTTCGATTTCCGGTCAGGGCACATGCCTGGGTTGCGGGCTGCAGCCAATCAATGACTCTCATCATTGATGTTTCTATATCTCTTTCTCCATCTCCTTTCCTCTCCCTGAAATCAATAAAGATATATTTAAAAAAAAAAAATCCTCACCCGAGGATATGTTTATTGATTTTTTTTTAGAGAGAGGGGGAGGGTGAGAGAGAGAGAGAAACATTGATGTGAGAGGGAAACATCAATCGGTTGCCTCCCATATGCCCTCCAAGAGGGGATCGAACCTGCAACCCAAGTGTGTGTCCTGACTGGGAATAGAACCCACAGCCCTTTGATGTACAGGACGATGCTCCAGTCAACCGAGCCACACTAGCTAGGGCTGTTTAAATTTTTGCAAAGAATATATATTACTTTATAATTAAAAATGCCATAAAAATTTAAAGGTTCTACAGGAAATCATTGAACTAAGCTTAATTTTCAGTACCAGTGTATAGATAAAAAGGTTTGCTTAAAAATATGTTCAAAGAACTGTAAATCTGAAACATTTTAATCAGCTTAACAATAACCCACAACCTTCGGACCAACTAATCTGGAACATTTTAGAAAGGGCTTAATACATATATTTTAAAATATGTCTTTATTGATTTCAGAGAGAGGAAGGAAGAGGGAGAGAGATAGAAACATCAATGTTGAGAGTGTCATTGATCAGCTGCCTCCTGCATGCCCCCTACTAGAGGCTGAATCCACGACCTGGGCATGTGCCCTGACCAGGAATCGAACCGTGATCTCCAGGATCATAGGTTGATGCTCAACTGCTGAGCCATGCCGGCTAGACCAGATTGCCCATTTCTGAAAGTGAACATTGTAAGCTGAATGGATGGAAAAAAAAGCAGTTCTATAGACAGTAACCTCACAGGGTGATCTGACCATGAATTCCTAACAGGGTAGGTCATGGTGGGTTGTCATGCCCCAGGCATATAACTTTTTAGTAAAAGGTTTATCTGTGCTTTAAGCAAGCCTTTACCATTGTTTCTATGCATCTAGGTCAGTGATTTTCAACTCCTGTGCTCCAAGAATTTTTTAAACATGCAGTACTTGACTATTTGGTCAGGGGCACTGACCTCTTTTCCCCTAGAATGTTTAAAAAAAAAAAAAAAAAAAGACAACAGCCGACACAATAACCTTCGGGTATGAATGCCCTGTCTTGAACCATAAATATACAGGTCATATAACAGAGCTGCATCTTATTAATCATGTTGCATAATAAGGTTACATCTGACTGGTTAACTCTTGGTACCAGAAATCCTTATATGTAAGCATAGGCACCTAATTTTTTTTTTTTAAAAAGTCACTTTGGAGCAAAAAGGTAGATAATTACTAATATTATCATTATTTATAAACCAATGAAAATTATATATATATTTTTGTCAGATAGGTAAAAAACGTATTGTTTTAATGTGCTGCAGATTTTTAGTAAATAGTTTACATGTGCCATGAGATGAAAAAGGTTGAAAATCGCTGATCTAGGTCAACACATCTTCGCAATAACCACACTTCAAGAGAGCATATAATCTTATTAACTGTCTTGTAATTCAATCCCCACTTTGCTTCCCCCCACCATCATATAATTTTCCTTAGTTCCTTCCTTAATCTCAAATGCATAAAAGAAACTGCAAACTGTTATTCTCTGGAGCACTTGAGATCTTGCTTCCTGGCACATTTTTTTTCAGTTTGGCTCAATAAACTCGTAAAAAAATTTTCTACAGGTTTGGACGTTTTCTTATTTTGGCAGCTGACACTAAAGAGACTTTGAGTCACCTTTAAGTCCTCACTCACCAAGCTCTTACTTTATCTTTATCTGTATTAAATAGTATCATATCCCCACGCTCAAAATCTCAGCCATATTTCTCCCTATCAAGTCCTGATTCATGTCAATTTTAGTTTTATAATTTTTTTTCCAAATCTATCCATTTTTCTTTCTTTAAAAGAATCGTTTAAAATTGATTTTTAAAGAGAAAGGAAAGGAGAGGGAGGGAGAGGGAACCATCGAGTGGTTACCTCCAGGATGCCCCCTACCGGGGATCGAGCCCCAAACCTGGGCATTTGCCCTGACCAGGAACTGAACCTGCAACCTTTCAATGAACGGGGCAACAACGAACCAACTGGACCTCACTGGCCAGGGCTATCTCTTCATTTTTCAATCCCCATAACATGACTTAGTTCAAGTTCTCCATGCCTTTGGGCTTTATTCAACTTTATCACTATTAACTGAACTTTGTCTTCAAGGACCATGGTTGGTACTGAGGGACAGGATAGAA